CAGAAGCTGGTATAAGCGCGGAAGTAGGGTGCTGCCTTCAGTCATCCCTTGCTCTTTCTATGCACTAGTTTACAAACTCTTGTGCATATAAGAATCATTTGCAGTGCTTATTAAAGAACAGATCTGTGGGCTTCAAGCCCTAGGATGTTGATTTAGTAGATCTGGGTGGGCCCAAGAATTGGAACTTCTAACAAACTCTTGGATCATTGTCTTGCCAATGGGTTTCAGCCCCAGGCAAGTTCGCTATGGATTCAATGTGACCAAAGAAAATGACAGCAAAACGTTCTTTGGGGTGAAAGGGTTTATTACCCGGCTTGATCTCCTGGCTGTAGGTCGAGTACTAGCATCTCCGCCTCCGCCCAGAGCACTGGGCCAACTCTCTATATAGAGCAGTAATAGCTTATTGCCTAAAGGTGTGGAAGCAGTAGCCTAGCAACAGGCCAGTTACATCATCAGTGGTTTAAGTTCAGTGAGGGTCCTGTTCATAGGAACCCCAACTTCCCCACAATCACACAAATGCTGCTGGATCAAGGTCCAGACTTTGATATCATCGCACAGTGGTGGTTAGTCCTGGCTAGATTGGAATCACCTGATTCTGATGGCCAGGCCCTACCCCAGACCAATTAAATCATCAGCCTGGGAACAGGTATTTTTTTAAGCTATTATAGTTGATACCCTAAACTTTCTTTTGGTCCATATTTATTTAGTATTATCTCTCCTTGCATCCTTTTGTATTAAAATATTTATGTCTTTCTGTTTTAAATGTGTTTCTGTGTTCAGCAAAGTGTTCTGACTTTTTAAAAAAAGTACAACCTGAACGTTTCTGTCTTCCAGTGGAAAATTAAATAGTTAACATGTCTTTGGGTCAATTACTGTCATATTATGACTGGTTTCTGCCTTCTGTTTATTTTTTGTACTTACTCTTTTTTTTGTGTGTGGGGAACTTTCTATAATATTTTTTTCTCCTTTTCTGCTTTCTTTTGGAAAGATGGACTTTTCTTCTGATGAAAAATTACCATTCTCATTTTTTTCTCATGGTGGTTGCCCATGATTATTCCTTTCTGTGGACTTTTTAGACTTACCAACTTTTGTACAAGCTGAGTACATGAATAGGCTCTCCTGCCTCTTTTATACACTCCCTACCCCTGCCATCATTTAATATTCCAGTTCTAGACTGTTACAGGTCTATTTCTTCTATTCCCCCCATTGGTCCTAATGAGCAGTGAACACTCCCAAGGTATTTGATCCCCCTTGTGGCACTTTTTGGATTTGTTTTTCTCACTTGGATGCGACATATTCTTAGTGTGGGACTCTGCACAAATCCTCTGAGCTTTTTCTATGCCTGAGAATGTTTGTTATTCCCTCAGATGTATGGAATGGTATCCATGCAGCATTGCTGGATTGAATATTTCGGCCCTACTTTCTGAGTCTTTGGTTAGGAACTCTGAAATTGTTTTCTCTTTTCTTCCCACCAAACTGACTTGGCAATGGTGTGTGGGTAAACCAGCTGTCTGGGATTAAAAAAAGCTCAGATTTTGTACTTTGCTGATTTCTAAGTGTAACTATTCCCCCATGGCTGATTTGAAACCATGGGTGTGATGTCACTGAACGGCATTAGGAGAGATATGCTCGCTGATGCAGTCAGCTCTCAGGAATCGCTGTTGAGCAGGCTCCCTCCCTCTGTTGGAGCCCAACTGAAGTGCTGGAATGCTACTCTGAAATCCTGTGGACATTGTACATTTTCATAAGTCAAATTCTTTTATCCCATCTATTTCCACCTTGCTTGTTATCCTGGGCTGACTCAATTTGCTTTACAGGTGAGGATACTGAAAAACTAGAACAGCTGAAGGGATTTGTTAGTGGTCAGTAATCAGAATGGCATGCACGTGGAGAGTTTCCTGCTCTTCATAAAACCAGATTATAACACTTTGGTGGAAAATGCATGAAAAATGGTATTTTAATAGGTTCTATGTCATCACTTAGAGGTGCTGGGGCAGCTGAGTGAGATGTGAGCATAAACAGCCTTCTGGTGAAATACCCGGATGCTTATTCTTCAGAGAGTAATAATAATTCCATGGTCATTAAAATATAGTGTGAGACCTTCTTGGCCTCAAGGTGTGATCACAAACTCAGAAGTAGCCTCTGGAGTGTGACTCGTTCCCCTTTCCTATGTGGGGGATTTGTTTCCGCAATAAGTGTTCCATTTTCCTGGAGAAGTTGTAATTGGCTAGATAGGATCTGGAAGAGAAACAGGCAGCTGAGTGCCCTTGGCCTAGCAGAAGATGGCTGGGCTCTCAGGGCAGACAAAGGAAAGAAAGGGGAAGTGTAGACACCAGCTTCTTGTAGATAATAGGTTTGGATCGGATGTAATTCTTTCCTATGGTTATATTTATAGAGGGTCTGTCTCCATCCCCATGCCTCTTTCCCCCATCTTATGCCCTCACCCCATCATGCTAAACTGGAAGTGTGTGGATGGGAGGGTCCTATACCTGGTTCAACCCAGTCCAGTGGGGTAGGGGTGGGAAGGCTGAGCTACATGGCTTCCCACAAAGGGGTCCTGTAGTTTAGGAGCTCAATGCTATAACCAGAGTAATGAAATAACAAGAGTTTCTGGCCATTCAAGGGGGATTGGATTTGTAATTTTGGGGTACAAGACTGAAAGACTATCACCCTAAAAAGTTAGGTGCATTATTAACAACCCGCATTTTGACTCAAAAGTAAACCACCACAGTCATTTCTATATTATTCTTTCTGGAAGCAAATCACACTCTTCTCATAACTTTCTACCCATTCTTAACTCTTTTCAGACACATGCTTGACCATGGAAAAGCCCTCAAATGGGCAATGTGTGAATAATGTAGGTGAGCCCCACTTTAAAAAAACACTGATACCAACTTACAAACTTAACCATATAATGAGAGAATGTTTATGAATACTACAGAAAGAAACACATTGGTTTAAAATATGATTTGAATGTTGAAAAAAATCAGATTTCATTTTATGACATTTTCAGAAATATTTCTGTTATGTAAAGGAAGGTATATTGGCATTTATAGTTGATTTACATTTCTAACCTCAGGTCTGGAGAACATCTTCTCATTTTTCAAGAATAAATCTCCTTAGAACATTAAAAATTTCCTGCCTCTTCTCCAGGTAACCCTGCCATCTTTTACTTAACTCAAAGTAATTACCTGTTGGTCATGCTGATTTTGCCAGTTTATGGGAGAGAGGGAAGAATCGACACATCTGAGGTGGAAGGGACAATAGAGTCCCTCCCTGTCATGAAACCAGTGAGATATGGAGGCTCTGAGCAGGGAAGGACTCACCGGATGCGTTAAGAGTTCATTAGCGGCAGAGCTGGGGCAGAACCATCCCATGGCCTTCCAGGCTAGTGCACATTTTCTGACTGGGCATTGCTCCATTGCATACCTGAGCTGGATGGCCATGCCCAGTGCTTGGTGGGTTCTCTTTACGGATAGGGCTTATTTTGCAGAAGAGAGCTAATTCCCCTCAGAGGGAGTGCTTATGGAGTGAGCTAGGGATAGAAAGCCTGAACTAACCATATCAAAGATGTGTTGTCCATCTTAGAACACAGAGGTCCCTAAATGCTGACTAGGCACATATTTACACAGACAGAAAGAGTGGGTGAGTGGCCTTCAGCCTGGGCACCTGGACATCCAGCTAAGGCTGAATTTACAGGGGCATGTTTTGGAAAGGGCACTTTAGGAGACATCGTAGGCCTGGTACTTTGTTATGGTCGATGCTCTTCTGTTTTTCTCCTGGGACAGGTAGTAGATGCGGTTGGCCTCTGGGTAGGTGACTTTGCTGAGTGGGAGCCTGTAGATGGCAGGGTTGTTGGTTGTCAGGAGCAGGAAGGTGAGAGCTGAGAGGCAGAAGGGCCAGGTGCAGGGTGGTAATCCAAACTGGGGGAGAGTGGGGACATAAGGAAGCCTTGGTCACACCAGATGCTTGTGCCTGTTTCCTCAGTCCTTACCAATCACCTACAGCCCTGCATAGAGGAGGGGATGCTTCATGGGCATTGATGGGAATAATACATAACTTAAAACCACGCCAGTGGCATCTGTCTGCATTGTAACAGGTAAACACACATTTTTCAAAATGCAGTCATTGGAACCCTATTATAATATGCCTTTATATGGAAGACATGTTTTGTCTTGGGGTGACTAGATGGGTCTAACTCTAGGAATACCTCTAACTCTAGAACTAGGGTCATCCCCACCTTCTCCCATGACCCCTGTTGAAGGACTGGCCTTCACAGCTATTTGGAAGCTCAAGATCTTTTCCTCTGGTCACAGCTGATTGGATTAGAGAATGGCACTGGACTGGGTGCAGCTTTCCATAGGCAGATAACCTGGGAATTGAACCCCTCTCTGTACTAAGAGGCACAGAGGCTGTCCAGAGACTTTTGATCTGAAAGGAATGGACAGTCAACCAGCGGCCATTTGGGGGCTGTGTGCAGTGGCAGAAGCCACTGCAGAGGCACAGGGAAACAGCTGGCATGTGCAGAGCAGCCAGGTGTGACCCCTCACCCCGATGAGCCACAGGTGGGGGGCAGCTGATCTCAAGGGCTCTCCCATTCCCATCTCCTTTTCTCGTGCTGTTGACCTGTTTTCTATGCCTTAGGATCCCCTGAGGCTCTTTAGTACCCCTCCCCATTCTTCATTTGGGACAATGTGAATGGTCAGCTTGCTGACGAGGAGCCTGCAGACTCACTACGAGGCAGACCAAATCATAACCCTCCCTCAAACGGCATTTTCTTATAGGCAGTAACCATCTCACATAATACCATGGGGGTAGTGATGCCAGTCCTGGGTGCATTCTAAGGTGACACTGTTGGAAGGCACTTGGGAAGAACAACGACAGCCAGAAGTGTGGCCATAGGAGTACCCAGGAGTGATGAAGTCCACTCAGTGAGTCTGTCCAGTACCTTGCTAAGAACGTAGGAGTGTGCTTTGGGAAGCATCTCCTCTGAGTCCTACTGTGGGAAGTCATGGGTTTGGAGTTCCACAGACCCTGATCCAAATCTCAGCCCTGATCACCTTGTTATAGTTACTTCATTTTTCTTGGGCCTAATTCCTCAGTAGTAAAATAGGGATAATAGTATCTACTCAGAGAATTGGTACCTAGTGCATACTAAGTACTCAATAAATAGTCCTCGGTGTCTGGTCAATATCATCAGGTCAAGGGTGGTGTTGTTGAAGACCTGGGGCTGCACACCACGTAGCAGTTAGAAAGCAAAAGAGCACAGCTTCTACGTGGTGTGGGCTTGACTGGTCTCATACGTGTCACTCAACATTTTTATATCCTGTTCCTCAGGGAGACTGCAAGTTTCTTCAGGGTGCGGTCATAGCCTGTACTTTTTTGTATCCCTGAGAGTGGTCAGCACAGTGTCTTAAACATACTGGGCATGCAGAAAGTGAACTTGATTTTGTTTTGAAAATGTCTACATTGAGTGGTATAACCTTTCACTTCTCTGCATGCAGAGGAAAGGGTGCATCAGCCTGTAGAAAGGTTTATGACCAGGAACCAAGGCCTTCCAGTCGCTTGTCCAGGAGCACATGGCACATACTCATTGGGTGGATGACTGGGTGAAAAGGTGGGTGCAAGAAGACATGGGGAAGCTGGAGCAGAAGGGAGCCTCAGGGGCCACGCTCCTGCCGCTTGACTCATGTGTTTCCGACGGCCAGCTGTTCAGCCTGGGCTCTTCAGGGTGAGGGCTCACTGTTTTACAACTTCATTCACTTAGCATTTCTTGAGCACCTACTAAGGGCAGGGTAGTGTAATAGATACTAGAGGTAAAGATAAGACTATGACTGGGCCCCTGTTCTGAAGGAGCACATGGACTGAGGTGGAAGGGATTGATGTATACTAGGCTCATCACAGCACTGTCTTGAATGTTGCAGTAAGTGTGTGAACAGAATCTGATGGTGCCCAGAGGAGGGACTTAATCCACCGGGGGACATAGGATAGTATCTGGGAAGGACAATTCTATGCTTAGAAAATTCCTTTTTATGCTAAGTTCAAACTGCCCAATTTTGCTAAGTGTGAAGGAGGAGCTTAGAATGGTATGAGTAGAATGCCCACCACCATTCCCACCTGCAGGACCACTGGGACTTTTCCTAGTGGCCTAGCGAGGTGTGCCCTTGAACCCTTATCCAAGAGGGGGTGCATCTATGTGGGGGGTGGGGGCTGGCCATGTGGCTCCTCCTGGCCTCCCACACCACCCAACACGGGGGCTCAGGCAAAGGAGGAGCTCTAGGACTGCTGCACATGCCCGGGGCCACCAGCCCTGGCTCCTCTCAGCCTTGGCCCCTGTCATCCCTGAAGCCTCCTGTCTCCCCTCATGACCCCCTGACTCTGTGCTAGCTGTTGTGGGATGAACAAAGATTTACACTGGCCCACAGCCCATTGGGCAAACCATCTACAAATGTACAAACAAATTTAAACAATAAAGACTTCAAACTCAGTCTAGAGGATGACACAGCAGAAATAATTTGATTTGCAAGAAAATGCTCCTTAAATTGTCCTTCTATAGAAGCTCCCTTGGCCTACTGGCAATGGGATCTCACAGACCAACTGCTGACATTTAAAGTTGGAGGACTAGCTTCATCCGTCGATAACAGGAGCCCAGGCAAGTGTTACTATGAGACGAGAGGGATGAGGAGGGGTTCGGGTCAGCTTTGGGAAGCCCAGAGCACACCAGGAAGGGCTCTGTGGCACGTCCCTAGCCCGCATCCACTCACCACAGATAACACGTTGGCCAGGGCGGTGCCCAGGTAAGCTGCAAACAGGGCTGGAGAAAGAACCAAGAAACAATCCGGTGACTAAAAGCACCTTGTGCCCAGTCTATATATTCTCTCCCCATGCATTTTATGCCACAAATGCTATCTCTTAGACTAAAATAAAAATTGAGTTATGCTTCCATTACTTGGCAGCTTTAAAAAGTGTTAAATTCCACACAAATGCCGGCACAGCTAAGAGCAGATGAACTTTGTTAAAAAGGGCCAAAATTGAACTGTTATGGTTCTCTCGGGTCCCACCACCTTGCATTCTGCAAAGGAACATTTAGCAGCATAAACCATAAATGAAAATTTTATTATACAGCCAAGGCAAGCAGATCCCAGAACTCCCTGTTGGAATATTTTATAACAAGTTATTAATATAATATGGGTTTCCAGGGAGGAGCAGCTTTCTGTAAGCTTGAGGAAGACCAAATATGCCTACTGCTTTGTCTTGTAGGCTCAGCCTGCAGAGGGCATGGGCATGGCCAGCCTGACCACTGGGAAGAGCCAAATGCAGTAAGAGGTGAGGCCCTGTGAAAATGTGCCAGCATAATTAGGCTTTGTTTCTGAACCTTCCGTTTCTCAACTAAAGGCATCCCAATTGTCCCTAGCATATTAACAACAGTAAGCCATTTATTAGAGTTACCGTGCCCAGCTGTAGTGATCCCAACCCCAGCCTTCAGCATTCCTACAACATAAGTATTATTTGAAGGGCCTGTGGCCAATGTTTAGGTGCTCAAGGTTAATCTCTATATCTGATGTAATTCCTCTGTTCTGGATATCAAGATTGGTCGGGGTAAGAGGTGCTCTGTGGGTTAGATCCAATCACCAACCATGAAAGGAGGCAGGCCATGAATGACAAGCAACCACCATTAAAAGATTGTCTTCGTGAGGGTCAACACTTGGTATTCCATGAAAATGGTTTTTAATGTGTAATCACTAAACAACCATTGACAATAATTTTGAATAAAAACACTTTTATAAAGCAAACAACCCTCCCATGTATCTTTGGAGGATCAGCAGAATTTTCCTAGGGTGGTTTTCCTTGCAGGGATAGCCATGGGCATCACTCATGGTGGAAAGAGAACTCCCCAGGCAGTACCTACCACAGGCGATGGCGAGGAGGTGAGTCTGCCAGGTGATGACGTAGAACATGCCTCCTATGGCGATGCACGCGAGCGTGCTATTGAAGCCACACAGGCCAAAGTAGATGGAGTCGAAGGGCGTTGCGATAGTGAGCGCTGCGAGAGAAGGCAGGCATCAGTGCTGACTCTGGGGGGCCTCAGGGGGCACACCTGCTGGTCCTGAGACCCACCACAGTCCTTAAAGCCCAGACCAGCTATCCTCTTGGGTGTTAAAATCAAAGAACTTCTGATTTTATTCAAAGGAAAAACATCTGAAGCAAACAAATGACCATAGAGCCACATGAGTGTTAGTGGTGGAGCTGTTATGGGTAGAAGACCTTTCTGAGTAAGACTCTGAAGTCTGATTTAAGCTGTCCTGGAAGGTCCTCCCCCTGCCAAAAAAAAGAGGACTTCTCTTTCTTCATTGATATTTTCACATTCCCTAATGGAGTATCTTCATTACAGATAAGACTTAAAATATAAACATGCCTGGAAGAAACCCTCCTCAAACTTTAAATTTATACTAAGGTGTAAAGGACTAATACCAAAGCCCTTTCCTGAAGGCAGCTTTCACTCAGGGAAGTGTGAGGGTACTGGCATCCAAAGTGGAGAAACAGGTATAATGGAAGGAGGGAAGGTTTGCAGGAATAAGCAGGGAGCACCCTGAAGACACACGTCACCGTTTGCCTTGGAGGTGCTTCCAGGCACTAACATCCTCATGACCATTAATAAGGGGGACGTGATGACACTAACCTGCCAACATCCCCATGGTGGATCCAACTGCAGCGTGCAAACAAATAAGAGGTGATGATATGAACAAAGCTATGAGGAAAATGCCTCCAGTCCAGGGGTTATCGCAGCCATACACTTGGCCGATGCCAATGGGGATGGCTCTCAAAAGCTGTAGGTGCAACAGGGTCACAGGCAGTTATGGGGGCAAAAGAGATGACTTGAATCTTGGCTGAAAAAGATTTGGTGCCCAACCTTCCACACTAACATTTTGCAACAGGTTTCTAAGATTTTTTTATTCAAATAGGTTAACTGTAAAAGGAACACACACTTTGTTTTAAACTCGAGTCCTTAGAACAGTAAGGGGTTAGGACGTTTCTTTTGTTTAGAAACATGAGTGTAAGTCACCAAACCCTGGGTGAGAAGAAACAAAACTTTTCAAATGAGGATTTATTTATTAGAAAAGTACTAGATGTCTGATCAAAGTTGGGGTTTAAAAACTCTCCTGTAACATTAAAACCCCCCCCACAAAATTATGACCATAAGGCTAAATACTAGATGAAAAAATAGTCCTTTGTGTAGCTAAGAACATGTCTGGGCTGAGGTTTTGTCCGTTTGCCTGGGTAGAGCAGTTGGACTGTTATCTACAGATGAGTCCCCGAGAAGGCGGCATCACGGTGCCTGCTCACTTCATCGATAAGCTAAGCAAACGGTGACTGACACACAAGCACCCTGCCTGCGTGAGGCCTCCATGCACCTCAGGGCAGTAGAGTCTGTCTGCGAATGTTACAGGACATTCTCAGGGCCAGAGTCCACTGCCTTGTGGACACTTGCACATATATTCTGGAATCCGGGGAAAGGTTACCGGGAATGCAGGCTTCCCCAGTGACTGGGGTTGGGGCCTGTGTTTGGAAGGTTGGTCACAGGCCCTTGTGCCAGGCAAGTGCATAAGGAAGGGGCTCTGGGCCATGCTGGGAGGCAGTGGGGTTCATCTCACCCCTTGGGCAGCACCTGAGAAGCAGAGTCCTGGGGTCAGGGTGCCTGTGTTACAATAAGGCAGTTCTCTCAGCACACATCCTCTGAGAAGACTCTGCCCCTGTGGGTCTGCGAGGACAGGAGGGCACTGCAAGAGCCTGTGGGTTGGCCGAAGAGGCCGGCCCTCCAGGCCCAGTGTCCTTACCATGGGAGCAGAGAAGAGGATGGCAGCTCTGGCACCAGCAGGTGAGGGAAGGGTGGGCAGGCAGGAGAGCCTAATGCAGACAGTGGCCCCAGGCACGTGGATCCCCAGCGGCTTGCTCCAGAGGGCTCTCCGCTGGCCACGGGAGCAGAGGAACCCACAGGGCCTCAAATTGTTGGGACCTTTAGATCCTGTCTGCCGTTTACCACTCATTTCCCCCAAACTCAAGGCTCTAATTGTAATGGTCAGAAAGACAAAAACCTATTAGTCACTGCCATAGTCCATTCAATTGGCCAGAGAGTTAGTTCTTAAAGAACGACCAGCAAAAATTGAAACTTTTTTCCTGGAACTTTGGGGGAAGTATTTGTACAGGATTTCCCAATGTTTTTCATTTCTACAAAATGCTTTGTTATCTTTTCCATTGAAAATGTGGCATGGAGAATGCAAAGTATCTTAAACATGCCTTTTCTAACAACATTCCCCATAGCACACCAGTCACAGAAATTTTGCTTGCAAAAGGCACTGATGAGGTAAAGACCATGAAAGAGAAGCCTAGGGAGTGTGCTGGCACGGTGACGCTTCTCGCTCTGGCTCATGAAGGCTCAAGCCCCCGGCCCCACACCTGCAAGGATGGGGCCGATGGAGATATTTCTCTTCCTAAATAATGCTTCCTAGTGCACATGTAGGGCTCTTTCTCCTACGCTGGCTGTTGCATACTATGATAAGCTAAGAGAAACCAGGCATCGTCATTTCTGGAAGATCTTTTAACAAGCCCCAGTGGCTCTGTGATAGGATGCTGAATGGCCAGTAACAAAGGTCCAGGTGAGCCCCAGACTGTGGGGTCATTCAGCATAGCAGGAAGCATGAGGGCTCAGAAAATGTGCCTTATTAGTGATCTCAGCAGACTTCCAGAGGCCAGCATTCTATACAGAATACTTGTAAAAAGCTTTAAGAGCTCTGTTATATATATATATATATATATATATATATGTCCTAATGGAGGAACACCTGTGCTTTAACAGGTGAACATGTGACCAGAAGAAAATGGAATCCAGTCTGGAGGTTGCAACGGAGATTTCTTAAGCCGATAGATGGTCGTGTCATGTGTGCATCTTTAATGATTCAATGAGGTTGAGTGGAAGAAAATATATAGCACAACCTGGATTAAAACTGGAATAAAGCATCAAGAAGACTTTTAAGAAAAAGAAAAAAAGAAAGAGCCTGGAATTAGCAGTCAGGAGAGCTCTAGTCTTAACTTTCTTCTTCACCAATTAGTGTGTGACCTTAGGCAGTGTCTTAGCCTGGCCTCTGTTTCTTCCTCTGTGCTATGACAGGGTGGCACCAGAAATGGCCTGTGTAGCTCATAGAAAGGGAAAAGAAAAGGACGTGGCTAATGGGATACTGTATGTAGAGTGCCTTACACTGTGTAATTGTCAACAGTTACTTCTCATGAATGTTTCTGACGCTCTAAGTAAGTGAATGCTCCTTTAACATCGAGTTTGGGCAGATGCTACCCTTCTGCCTTCCATGATACCTACCAAGGGCACTTGGACCTCTGACCAGGTGATGTTGGGCACAGAGGATGCGGGCTGCAGCAGCGTCGTGGGAAAGAAGAGGTTGTAGTGGCCGGTGGCTGCCAGGTACAGGGTCACTATGATATTGAAGGGCAGCGTGAAGACCGGGAGGTCCCACTTGCTGAAGATGGTACCCAGGGCGCTGGAGAGGATGGGGCTGGGGGCAGAAGCACAAGAGATGTTGTTCAGGAGGTTCCCAGCCCTGACACGGAGGGCAGGAGTAGGAGCTCCCTGTGCCTTTCTGGAGAAAAGCAGCCTGCTGGGCTCCCTGTCTGGACGGCTTCGGGGAGTGATGCGGAGGGGAATCGCACCCATTCATTCCAGAGATGTTTGCTGAGCAGCCGAGAGCACTGCGCCTCATGGCCAGAGTGCCCTGTGATTTCTGGAGCTGAAGGGGACTTGAGCCTGGCACTCCGAGGGCTCTGCCCAGTGGCTGGGCCTTCCGGCTACACTCCGAGGTTGTCCCAGTCTGGTCAGGGGGTTCAAGGACAGGGTAAAGCTGGCAGGGGGAAGTGTGGTGGGAGGAATGAGAAGGGTTCCAGGAACAGAGAGGACCCTGGGGTTTGGCTCTTAACCTATGTGGGCCTCAGTTCCCCTACCTGTGCTCTGGCAGTGTAGGACCAGAAACTCTTGTAGATCTTAAAGAAAGAAGAGTAGAGGATGGTAGGTAATGAGATGATGTCTATACATCACCTTGCACAGTGCTGATGCTGTATGAAGTTAATAATTATTTCCAGTGGGTGTTTCTGATGCACAAGCTAAGCAAATGCCCTTTCAAAGGGAGTTTAGACAGACAGCCAGGGAGCTGGGATGAAAGGTTAATGGCCTCGCACCCACAGCTTCAGAAGCAAACTTACCACGACATGGACATAATGATGACAGGGAGCAAAAGCCACCAGTAATAGTCGCCTTTGTCTGAGAACACAGCCATCAGCAGCCCCACCAGCACCCCGTTGTAGCCGTGTAGCCCTGCTGCGATGGCGGACCTGGGGGCAGGGAGGAGGGCTGGTCAGGGGGCCTCCCCTGGTCAAGTGTCGTGGCGCTGCCTCCTTGATTTTCCTTCTGGGTCAGATTTTCCTGAGCAGGGGCCTGACTACACACACCTTCAAACAGCCTGCGCCTCCCGGAACAGAACAGGAATGCATCAGACCCTCCACATTCCCCTGGACAATGTGCAGCTGTTAAAAAATGACCAGGGAACAGTTGTTGTCAGCCATGGGTATCCTTATTCTGAGGGGTTTCCTAGCTGGAAGCTAAGCAGTGAGGGGATGGAAGGTGGTGAATGGTCCTCACAGCGAGCGACCTCTGACCTCAGGCTCTGACCCTGGGTCTCCTGCAACTTACTTGTCCTGGCTCAGGATGAGGGCTGTCAAAGTGGACACCACGGTGCCCAAGCAGCCTGAGATGGCCCACCAGGGGTTCTGCACGAAGAGACCGAGGATGATGAGGATGCCACTCAGGGGGTTGTTCACGAACATCACCTGAGACGTGCCCCGGAGGACCCAGTCGAGGAACTGGAACACAGGGGATTTGTCTGGAAGGAACCAGGGCTGGAGGTCAGTCAATGCTCAGGTGTGACCAGCCTGGGAAAGCTCTGGTGGGCACGTGAGGCTGGGAGGGAAACTCTACATGAAAAGTAGGTTTGCAGAGTGCCAGCCTCCTGCTGCCACCTGCTGCAGAAGAGGGTGAACTGAGAATGCAGGAGGGCACTCGACTGTCCAGAAAACTCTTCAGACCCACTGCCTGCTCATTGTGGTCTTTAGACTGTTTTTTGAGCAGTGTAGTAAGGTACCCTGAACTATCTGCCTCTGTGAGAGTGGCATGAATTTTCAAGAAGATGGATCCAGAAACAAAGCCCTCCACACAGGGCTTCAGACCCATGGCCTGAGCTCTGGGGAGATTGCTAGAGGGAACCTGTTGGGATGGTACACGCAGTTCTCCCATGAGCCAACCACAGGGTGAGCATTTTTCTAGAATTCTGACTCCGAATCCCAGGGATAAAATACCTGACTGCAGTGCTCCAGTGGGATGCTTGAGAGAGCAAGACTCTCAGGTTCGGAAATGAGAGCTCGCACACTTACACGTATTACATCCCAAGAGACTGTATGTCTGTCGTAAGGCCAAATTCTTACCTTCTCTGAAATACCATAGAAACAGAACTCAATCTAGTCTCCAGAGAACTCAGGCGATGTGTTTTCTGGGGGACGACTGGAGGTGACTTTTCAGGGGCTGGGCCAGGGCTGTTCTCACAGAACTGTACCTTTGAGGCCCTCTCCGCACTCCTTCATCTCTCCCGTGATGTAACCGAGGGCTTTGCTGACTCTCTTCTCACTGGCAGCCATGGAGCTCCGAATCCAGGATGTCTTGGGAACGTTCGTTTCCACCTTTATCTCAGAGCTCTCCTCCATGGTGTTCAGATCCTGTCCAGGCACAAGACAGGGGTAAGAAGCTCCCATATCCAGTGCTTCTCACTGAGAAATGACATTTGTGCCCCCAGGGACAAAGCTAAGATTTGCATTTGGTGTTTAGTGAAACTGCTATTTAACCTCTCCATGTTTCTGTAGGCTAGACTATCTTTTGTTTGACATATTACCCCATTTAATAGGCACAACAACATTGAAATACAACAAAACATATTTGTCCTCAATCTATGGATAAGGGCTCAGGCATGGATGGAGAGGTTCTCATTGATAAGGTCAAACAGTAGAACGGATATTTAACTACAGAGCTTTAGATTCTTTCTTTTTAACTGTTACTCCACCATACCACACTCTTTGCAGAAGAAATTATTTACTCCCACAGCATGTCTAGTCTTTAAAATTGAACTGTTAATAAAATTAAACATGTAAAGATTGTTCTTGAAGATTGGCGTCAGTTTTTTTCTGGTTTGAATTTAAAGGAAGATGAATAAAAAATAATTCAAATAAAAGAAATACGAAACTTTATAAACTATGAAAAATGGACAGTTTTATCTCAGATAATGATGTTTCTGGAAATACTAATTCAAGAAGTTTGCCTAAATGGGAGGACATCTTTTCTGGACCTCTGCTTCCTAATATGCCGCCTGCTCCCCCTTACGTGGGCCCCTAGCGCCTCACCAGCAGCTCCACAGTGGGCTTCCTGTATTGACAGGGAGCAGCGTCTTTGATTTGTCTCTCCTGGTGCTCGCCTTTTCCAAACACTGAAGGTGGAAGGAAAGAACATAGTAAGTTGGGGCACGAACTGATTTTAGCAGCAACTGCTGGTTGTAGTAATAAGACAAGTGATACCCACATCGTTACTTGAAACAGATTCTAGCATGTCCTTGTAATACTAGAAAACTCTCTTGTAAAGTGGCTCTAAACATATTTTTCATTATTGCCAGATAATTTTTAAAGATGACCTATTTCAGCAGTTTAAGCAACGTAAAGGCCCTTGAAAGATTCCATCTTGATGCTCTGGTTCCCTCCTGTGGTCAACTCTGAGGATGGCAGGCTGAGCTCTGAAATTTGAACTTTCAGACTGAACTGGCTTTTCCTAGTTTGCATTCATGAGATTTCGGGATACCAAGCACTGCAAGGGATGCAAAAATGGCACTGTGCCCCCACTTTTAAAGGAGCAGAGTCTACAAATACCACTGTGGTTGGGAGATTACCCTATGCAGGGGAAAAAAATTAATTCTGGAAGCAAATTAACTTTGGAAGTGTAGGAAGCAAAGAAGATTCTCGGGACTTAGAATTAAGTGTGTGCGATATCCCAAGGACCCTCTGCTTCTGTCTGATGCTCCCGTCTGTCTGCCAGCTTTTCATTAGTTTCCACTGATGCATGTCCCAGACTCCTTTGCATGGGGCTTTCTCTCTTCTGCCCGACCTCAGCCTCCAACCACTATGATGTTTGGAGGCAGGCTGTTAACCTTTCCAGGCAAGCCGGGCTTTCTTCCTCATCAGGCCTGGAGCCCCTATCAAATACAAACTCCTGGGCTAGAGGGGCCCTTGAGGTGCTTCGAATCCCTCTGCACCTTGTATGATGTTTTCCCAAACCACCTCAGCCTGTCTCTCTGGCATGGACCAGTGAAGCTCAGATGAACTGGAGCAAGAAAGTCACTACTGCCTCTTCCCGGAGGCATGTGATGTTGTAAAAAGGACACTAATTCAGCAATCAGTCATATCCTTCTGCTATGCCTCTCACCAGCTGTGTGACTCTGTGCAAGTCGGGTGCCCTCTCTGGAGTTTGGGGGGCAGAACTAGATTGCCTTTCCACCCTGGCTGTTCATGAGGCTGCTCCAACCTTGCATCTGATTGGGGACATCCCCCATCCCGCCACTGTGTCTGTGGTCAGAGGTCACATGTGATAAGAATCAGCCTGACCCACATGGCCCTCCCCACCACTGTGTGAGGAGGGACTGCCACTGTCCCCTTTGGAGATGAGTAAACCAAGGACTGCAGAGTGAGGGGGAGGAAGCACACACCTTTGCTCCTCCTGCGAATGGATGACCACTCGATGTGGAACACACTCCTGGGCTTGGGGAGCACAGCTCCCGAGCCCTCATTGGCCTTGGGGCTCGGCAAAGCTGGCTGCTCCCCACTGCCGCCTAGCCAGGGGCAAAATGAGAAGGTCAGTGTCCCACCCTCGTCTGCACCCCCTGAGCGCAGGCAGAGCACACAGGAAAAATCACACACAGAAGCTGGAAAGGAAAGAGAAGTGGGCTCTAAAGCTGGAATAGTGATTGTATTGGTCTGTGCATAAAACAGCCAGCTGCTCCACTCCTACTGTTAGAACTTCCCCCTTTCCCTGGAGAAACGATCTTGCAGACACATACAGAGGTGAATGAACCAATTTGCCTTATTTTCCCAGCAAGGAACTACTCCAAGACCTACTTAACTGGGCCTTGGGCTGGCAGAGAGCAGACCTAGCTGACTACCATGATCATTCTTCTGTCGGCACCTTGGCCTCCATGTGCGACAGGGAGTATGTATTTGTGTGTGTGTGTGTGTGTGTGTGTGTGTGT